CTTCTGAACTATATTCGTTCCGATAATATTGTACATCTTTCAGACTTCGCGATGACGCGCTACGCTGCGTTACGATGCGCTACCATTGCAGTAGCGCTCCGACGCTGCGGACGTGGGCGCAGCCACAGACGGCTATTCATTGAAGTTGACCGCTGTAGGCGGGGTACAGCATCGTGATGTGTGACGTGTCAGTACAATCCCCCACCCCCTTCCCCAACACCTACCTGCGAATTTCCCACATTTTTCAGTTTTTCACCCAAAAATCGTGCGGGGTGGATGGGGTATATAGTACAAATGATACAGGAAAAATCACCAAGAGAAGTCAGCAACCGCGAAAAACTCTTTCCCAACAGGGCAAATTCCTCTCAAAGCCGCATACGACCCTTCCCACCCTCCTCTCCCAACAATGACCAAATACGACCCCTCCTCCCCAGCGGAAAGTACGACTCCCCTATGTGTTGCACACAACGATGCTGTACCCTGGTTTTCGGAGAGCATAGGAGAATAGGGACCAGCGGGCTGTGTGATTAAGCGATATCTGCCCTGACCGAAACGAAAGTTGCTCCCACGAAAGCGCTGGAATCTTATCGTACTGCTTTGCTACATGTTCCTGTTCCTTTATTGGAATTATTTCAGGCCTCGTTTCACTACTGTACAGTTAGACACAATACCACCGCAACATATTCCTGAAGGAGTATCAGTGTTAAAATTCGAATCACCACTACATTTTGCCAATGTCACTTTGTTCACAGACAAGATCTCAGAGCTGCTAACATCAGTTAAGAGTGATGTGAGTTCTTCTTTGGATGGACGAATCACTAAAATCAGTCCTTGCTTCTTTTTCTTTCATAAAAACAACTTTCCAGTCTTTGCTGAGCGGACGAGCGATTCTTGTGGACTGTACGGCTATGGCGTATGTGGATAGTATGGGATTCGACGCACTCAAGGAGGTACTGTACAAAAAATGCAGTAAACTGAAATTGGCACCCATAATGAACTGCTCTTAATTACAGGCATACAAGGACGCCAAGAAGAGCGATATTACGTTGCAGTTCTGTGGATTGAACGGTATTCCATCTTATTTTCAATTTGCGTATTTCCAGTATTGGTATATTTCACGGGGAGGTCTCTCAGATTCTGGGAGTATCTTCCAAACGATTTGTTGCATGATGTAGAGGTACAGGAGGGTGCCACAGAAATTTTATTCATTTTCGCTGCGCGCTTCAATAGGCTCTTGGTTCAAACCCCTTGATAGGCAAAATTTTGCATCTTGCAATTTTTATTTTTCGAGTCGGAACCTCTTGTCCAGAGGGAAACGTATCTGGAAACGCGTGAATCTCTCGTCGTGAACACAGAAGAGCTGCGCAGTTCGCGACGAGGGGGGGGGGCTTTGCACTTTCGTTGCTTCACTAGTTCCGGTTTACAAGTCTCACTCTGGTGAAACCTGTGAACTCTTGTGAAGCTGGAGCAAGCTCGTCAAGCCATCATGGTAAAACCTGTCAACTCGAGAAGAGGCTGTCTAGATGGGTCGACACGTTGATGGGAAGTAGCAAAAGTGCAAAATGCCCCCCCCCCCCCCGTCGTCGAACTGCCCCCAGAAGAGCTTTCTATCGCTGAGTTCCTCGTAAACTCATAGGGCTTTTCTTTTCTAACCTTTCTTGGCGTTCCCAGGATCACGCAGCGGAAGACAAACTACGGTCCTGTAGTTGCCACATGTACCTTTACAGAATGCAAACCGTTTTGAAAACGGGCTCCACGACCGTGAAGCCCCTTGTCAGGCAGAATATGGTGAAGCTATCGAAGTTCCTGTCGAAATTTCGATTCAGCTTGAAATTCTACCGACCCGAGGTAGTTTAACCCATTAAAGGCACCTACGCAATTAGATGCGGAGTGGGGCAAAAAAGTCATTTGCGCTTCATGGACTTTCAAGGCGCTATAAGTTACACTTTATTAAATTTTATCGGACATTTTTACTACCATATTAAAGAGCACATTAAATACTATAATGATACTCCGCCACAGCCTTCTGGAGGAGCGCCATCGAGAGATTCGGCCGCGCGAAAGTGAGTGGGTACCGGAGTTGAGCGAGATCGTTGATTTCTCCCGATACTGTAGACCACCCCTGTTGAGCTCCGCCCGAACTAGGTAATTGAGTGGGTTCAGGTCAGGGGACATATTTCAATATTACATCTTTCATCAGGTACGAAACGCCCTTCCATTCGAAGTAGGCGGGAGTTTTTCCAAAACCCTTCGATTCCATGTGGTGGCACCCAAACCTGTAGCAGCACAAGGTCTCCAAGAAGGTACGGGCGACCACATGTAGGGAGGATATCCTTCTCGAGTTACTTGATGTAACCGCCAGCGCTCACCTTCAGTCGGGGTCTACAAAGAAAATATCGGTCTTCCCATTCCAGGTACGGCTCCACACCATCAACCCGCGCCTTGGTGAATGGGGTGAAGATGATGTCCTGGACCGTAGCGACGTTGCCGGAGCTGCTCGTTGTTTTGCAGGTCTTGAGTACTGGTCTCCAGGTAGCTATCCATGGGTGATTCCATTCAAGAGTTCCGCAGCTGTTTGGAGGTGACATGAATTCCAAAGGTCTTCTCCAGTCAGGCCGCGACTGGAGATGACTTCATATTTTGGTGTACATGAAGGTGAATGGCGGCAGCCGGCTCCTGCTTATAGAGGAAGATCTTGGGTATCTTCCGCCCTGGTACTCATATCCACTTCCTCTGTCTGGGCTGCGAAAACTTCGCTCATATGTGACTCGGCGAATGACTTTTTTTTGGCCCCCCCTGTAGACTGCGAAGTGGCTATCTCCGTGAACAAGTAGCGCACTGCAGTGATAGCGATTGCACCACTTTCGCGGCGCAAAAGCGAGTGGTAAGAGCCCTATGCCGTCGTTCTTATCGTTGGCCCGACCTACCTTCATTGGCCCCGCCCGCCTTCACAGCCGTAATAGCAGATGAAACTTGCCAGAGAGCGTAGGCAGCGACATTATCCATAGGAAATCAGCTTGGATCAATTGCGGCGACTCATCTCGACCACAACTCACTATCGGTGATCTCGTCCGATCCCACCCTTCGCTTATATTCTGCTCAAACAAGTGAGCTTTAGGGGTTTCTTGTTTGGGACTTTGGCGACCGTTTTTTTTCTGTTTTCTCCACCATTGGCTTTCCTGGCACTTTGGCACCGCTGTTTGAGTACACTGCCCAGAATACGTTATCGCGGGACTTGCCTTCGAGTTCAGATATCGCAAGTAACACAAGTCTTTTTTCACCAGCTAGGGAACCCGGAGCGGTTTCAGTGGTTGCACTCTGATAAATTTGAAGTGACTGTTGTTGGCTCAGCCCCACCCCCTCCGTGCTGTGAACTTCGTAATGATGTCACGACAGTTGTGAAGGTTTGACTTTCATGGCGATAAGCTGAGCAGGAGCTCAGTGGACTTCGGTGACGTTGAATGACGTTGAGTTCAGCTCTACAAATGAAGTCCAAGGGAAAATAAAATAAGGGTTTGAGGTGGTCGGG